CTCATCCCTCTGCACCCTGACCCAGGTGTCCATCCCTGTGCACCCTGTCCCCGTGCACCTCATCCCTCTGCACCCTGACCCAGGTGTCCATCCCTCTGCACTCTGGCCCCATGCACCTCGTTCCCATGCACCCTGTCTTGCACCTCGTTCCCGTGCACCCAGTCACCCTGTACTTCTTCCCTCAGCACCCTTCCTCATGCACCTCATGCCTCTGCACCCTGAACTGTTTGTCCGTCTCTGTGCACCCTGTCCTTGTGTCTGTCCCCGTGCATCCTGTCCCTCTACACTCTCCCCACAGACGTCATTCCTGCGCACTCTGACCTTGTGTATCCATCCCTGTGCACCCACCCCCTGTCCCCGTGCGCCCTGACCGTGTGTGTCCACCCGTGCGCCCTGACTGTGTGTGACCACCCTGTGCCCCTGTCCCCTGCACCCTGACCGCGTGTGTCCACCCCGTGCCCCTGTCCCCGTGCGCCCTGACTGTGTGTGACCACCCCGTGCCCCTGTCCCCGTGCGCCCTGACCGCGTGCGCTCGCCTGCACTCATCGGTGCTGCTCACCCTGCGCGCGCTGCCCTGGCCTCGTGCGCCGCGCCCTGCAGACCCCGTCCCCACTCCCCATGCACTGGGGATCCTGTCCCCCTTACCAGCAGCCACCCCGGATACCTGAGAGGAGCCTTGGGGCCGCCCCGAGAGGCCGCGTGCCGAGCAGGAGGCCAGCGAGGTGCCGTGGCTGTTTATTACCCCAGCGCGCCCGCGATTGCGCCGGCACCGCGGGCCGCCTGTGCCCCGTCCCCGCTCACACCGCCAGCGCCGCGGGACCCCGTGCGTCCCCGTCCCCGCTCACACCGCCAGCGCCGCGGGACCCCGTGCGTCCCCATCCCCGCTCACACCGCCGGCCCCACGGGACCCCGTGCGTCCCCATCCCCGCTCACACCGCCGGCCCCACGGGACCCCGCGTGTCCCCGTCCCTGCTCACACCGCCAGCGCCGCGGGGCGCCGCTGGGCGCGGGCCCGGCCGCCGGGACGGCACTTGGTGGCAGCCAGGTGGTAGATCTCGGCGAGGTTGAGCAGCAGGGACACGCAGGCCGTGCCCAGCATGAAGAGCACGAAGACGGTCTTCTCGGTGGGCCGCGCCACGTAGCAGTTGACGGCGTTGGGGCAGGGCCAGCGGCGGCAGGCGTAGAGGGGCTGCAGCGCGAAGCCGAACAGGGCGCACTGGCCCGCCATGAAGCCCACCTCGAGCAGCGCCTTGGCCACCACGCTGCACACGTAGGTCCGCAGCAGGGCGCCGCGCAGCCGGGCCCGGCCCCGCGCCTCGCGCCCGTCCCGCCGCCGCCGCCGCCGCGGGGCCGCCGCGCGCTGCCGGCCCCTCTCGCGGCGCCGCAGCACGTGCAGCACGTGGCCCAGGTGCAGCAGGCTCGGCGTGGACACGAAGATGATCTGCAGCGCCCAGAAGCGCAGGTGCGAGATGGGGAAGGCGCTGTCGTAGCAGGCGCTCTGGCAGCCGGGCTGCTGCGTGTCGCAGGCGAAGCCGGCCGCCTCGTCGCCCCACGCGCGCTCCGCCGCCGCCCCCAGCACCAGGATGCGGAATACGAAGAGCACGGAGAGCCAGAGGTGGCCGGCGGCCGTGGCGTGCTCGTGCGCGCCCTCCAGCAGCCGGCCCAGCACGCTCCAGTCGCCCATGGCGCCGGCCCCCGCGCGCGGCCGGTGGGCGACGCGCCGCCTCCGCCGCCTCCGCTCGCTCCTGAGTGGCAGCCGCCGCGGCCACTGGCGGGACCAAAAGAACCCACCCCGTCCCCCTCTCCATCCGCAGCCTGGGCGCTTCTTTCTAAATATACTCGGGGCTGCAGGGCAGGGCAGCGGGGCCGGCGCGAGCCCTTGGCCGCCCGGCGCTCAATGCCACCGCGGCTCCCCGACGGCGAGGGAGAGGAGGGAGGCGGCGAAGGCAGCGGCGGCGGCCCTAGCAGGCCGAGCAGCGGTCGCCCTTCTCCTGCAGGCCGGGGTTGCGGCGCAGCATGTCCTTGAGGGAGCCGTCCTGCTCCGTGAGCAGCTGGTTGATCTCGTTCTGCTTGTACTCGGACGAGAGCTTGTGGCCGTAGAAGGAGCCCTTGCCCGAGGGCGGGTTGGAGTCCGGGTGGCCGCGGCGGGCGCACGCCCGCACCACCAGGTACACCAGCTCGGCCATGTTGAGCACGATGCAGATGCCCGAGGTGACCAGCATGAAGACGGTGAAGATGGTCTTCTCGGTGGGCCGCGACACGAAGCAGTCGACCGTGTTGGGGCACGGGTAGGCCTCGCACTTGACCAGCCGCACCATCTGGTAGCCCGGGTAGATCATGTAGAAGATGTACATGAAGACGGCCTCGAAGAGCAGCCTGAAGACCACGCTGCACACGTAGGTCCACCAGAGCGAGCCCGCGATGCGCATCTTGTGCTTCTTCACCTCCTCCAGGTGCTTGGCGTCGCCGTGGCCCGTCAGCACCAGCAGCTTCTTCTCCTGGTGCTGCATGTAGGCCACGTGCATGGCCACGAGCAGGGCCGGCGTGGTGACCAGGATGAGCTGCAGGGCCCACAGGCGGATGTGCGAGATGGGGAAGAAGTGGTCGTAGCAGACGCTGTTGCAGCCGGGCTGCTGCGTGTTGCACGTGAAGGCCGCCTTCTCGTCGCCCCACACGCTCTCGGCCGCCACCACCAGCACCATTATCCGGAAGATGAAGATGACGGAGAGCCAGATGCGGCCGATGGCGGTGGAGTGGCGGTTCACCCCGCTCAGCACCGTGTAGAGGCCGGCCCAGTTCATGGTTGCTCACGTCTGCGGGAGCGAGAGGCAGCGTTAGAGGCCACCGCCGGCGCGGAGAGGCCACGGCGCCGCGCGGGGACGGCGCCGCGCTCGCCACGGCGCCGCGCTCACCCACGAACCGGGGTCGGAGGAGCCCCGTGGCGCCCCAAAGCCGCAGGAGGGACCCCGAGGAGCCCGCGGCCGCTGCGGGGAAGAGGCTGCAGTGGGCGCTGCACCCCGACCTGCGCCCGGCGCGGAGCAGACCGCCCGGCCCGGCCGCGTCCCCGTCCGTGCGCCCGGCCCCTACCTGCGGCGAGGACGGGTGCGGAGCTGCCCGCGCGGCCCCTCTAAGGTCTCATGGCCCCGGCGGGCGCCGCGGCGCCTGCCCTCGCCTCGCTCCGCCGCTGCCCTGCACTGCGGTCATATGCCGCTTTATAGGCATTTGCACACAAAGGGGCCTTTCTGGGCCCCTGAACAACACGCTTTAGCATTCAGCTCCAACGCCCCGACTTCCGCCCACCCCGGCCAAACAAAGTGCCTGTGTGCGGCCCTCCCGCTGCCCGGCCCCGCGCCCGCTCCCACCTGGCCCCGCGCACCGCGGCCGGCCGGCGCCCTGCCCTGCTGCAGGGCCACGGCCACGGCCACCTCCTGCCCTGCTGCAGGGCCACGGCCACCTCCTGCGGCCACGGCCACCTCCTGCCCTGCTGCAGGGCCAACCCCTGCGTGGCCATGGCCACCCCCATGGTCGCCCCCTGCCCCGTCACACGGCCACCCCCTGCCATATGGCCACGGCCACCCCACGGCCACCTCCTGCCCTGTCACACAGCCACAGTCGCCGCCTGTCCTGCTGCATGGCTAGGGCCACTCCCTGCCGCATGGCCATGGCCACCCCCATGGCCACCCCCCGCTGCCCTGCCACATGGTCACGGCCACCCCCCATCACAGGGCCACCTCCTGCCCTGCCGCATGGTCACGGCCACCCGCACGGCCACCCCCTGTCCTGCTGCACACCCACAGCCCCCCGCCCTGCCGCATGGTCATGGCCACGGCCACCCCCACAGCCCCCAGGCCCCGCTGTCCTGCCCAGGGGGACAGACCCGTTGCCGCGGGCCGGGGTGCCGGGTGTCCCCAGGCCCCGCTGCAGGGTGTCCCCATGCTGCAAACCCGGGTTCCTACCGGCGCCGGTGGCCGCACGGTCCCCTCGGGAGCTGCGGAGCCCCGCGGCCCCGGGCGGCTCTGCAGCCGGGCCCGGCACGTGGGCGCTGCCCCGGCCCCGCTGCCGTCGGGCC